TGGTGATGAAGGGAGTGGGGCTTCCCTTCTCTTCTGGTGCCTAACGGTGAGGCATTGGGTTCTAATATGAACAGAATTTGCAGTAATCCATAGTTTTGTAAGTAGCACCTAGGAAATCGGTGGTTGCAGTAGAAATATTACATATAATTGTGTGACAGGGGTAGCCACATTTTGCAAGGGTTACACACGCAGACAAGTCTTTCAGATCCACCCATAAGGAATTGGGTTTAAAAAAGTTATGAGCAACTGAAAGAGAGGTGTTGTAGGGGCAGTTAGACCTCAACTCTTAAATAGACTTTGAATGGATGTAGCCACATATACACTTCGAAATGACTTCCAGACCACTACAAGCCAGAGATGAATATGAAAGATGAGTTGGGGAGGGAGCGTCGGTGAAGTCCAGGGGTAAAAATCTGGTGTGCAGCTTGATCATCTTGTGGTAGGGAACTGTCTGTGGACACTGCTGGGGCTCATAACTTAATCTCTTAAACTAGGTGCAGGCTGACAGATATGTGATGGATACTGAAATCCTACTTTGGCTGTTGGAAAGGAAAAGGAACTCTCTCTTCTCCTTTCCTCCTCTACCAGGGCCTCTGATCCATTCAGTAAGGAGATCTACGGCTACAAGCAGAATTCCACCAGTAAGAACGTTGTGCCTTCAGTGCTTGAGAGCCTAAACCTCAGCTTGTCTAGCTGCACCATATCTGTAGAATGCAGCTTTCTTAGTGGGTTGTGGATGGTGACATGTTCTCTGAAATAACCATGATTTTACCTGTTTGGGGTCTTGCTAAATTAGGATTACAATTTTGAATTCAGTCTAGAAGCAAACATGGAGTTAATTTTGTATGCAGACCACTGGGGTGATGTGCTCACAATTTGTGGCATAAGAGGCCAGCTATTGTTCATGTACTCAGGAACTCCCATGAAGAGTGGGTTGCAGTAGCCTCACTTCAAGGTGACAGGCCTGGATCACCGTGGCAAGGTCCTTTGCAGAAGAAACAACACAGTTTACTGGTCATGTGGTAGAAAGCTGTCCTTTGCCACTGTTATTCTACCTCTTCCCTCTAGCTCAGCACTTCTCATACTTTTTGAGCTGAGTCCCCCTTTGAGTTACAATTTTTGGTTGTGCCCCCCAACCGTAACAAAAATAGACACATGCAAAAGTATGCTTGATAGCCTACTCCTAAAGCTAACGGAGACCTTAACATAACTTTAATTAAATTACCTACAACTGTAAGTTTCAAATCCACAGATATTTAATGGCACAGCCCAGGTTTCCTCAGCTGCAGACTGCTTCTACCTTGCAGCCAGGCTGCAGTGTTAGGGTAGGGCCAGTACCTTCCCCTTCGGGTTTTCAGGGTGGGGGAAGGCATTTGCGATGGTTTCTGGGTGCAGAGGCTGCCGGAAGTGGAAATTGGTGCGGCCGCAGTGGGTGTTGACACTGACTCACGGGCTGGGTGGTCTGCTGAAATGAGTTGGGGTGGAGGTGGTGCTTCCTCCCCGCCCCCCTTGGGGGCTGGCCCATGATCCGCAGCACTGGCAAAAGCCGCCTGGTGTCGCCACTCCCCTCCTTCCGAATGTTCCTCCATGCCCCCCAGGAGGGCGTGCCCCACAGTTTGAAAACCTCTGCTTTAGCTTCTAGCTCAGGGGTTGGCAACCTTTCAGAAGTGGTGTGCCGAGTCTTCATTTATTCACTCTGATTTAAGGTTTCGCGTGCCAGGAATACATTTTAATGTGTTTAGAAGGTCTTTTTCTATAAGTCTATAATATATAACTAAACTATTGTTGTATGTAAAGTAAATAAGATTTTTAAAATGTTTAAGAAGCTTCATTCAAAATTAAATTAAAATGCAGAGCCCCCCAGACTGGTGGCCAGGACCCGGGCAGCGTAAGTGCCACTGAAAATCAGCTTGTGTGCTGCCTTCGGCACGCGTGCCATAGGTTGCCTACCCCTGTTCTAGCTACAGAAATGGGGAGTTTCTGCTACTTCACTTATTCTCCAGTCTCTTTTTAATTTTTAAAAAAAATGGTCTTCTGTAGAAAATAGTTCCAGTACCTGCCTCGGATGCTCACAGCTGTGCCAAGCAAAAACTGAATGAAAGTGTACTTTTTTTTTTTTGGCCTTCAGGATTCTGAATAGCAACAGTGAAACTAGTTAGTATGTTATAATTTCAATCTGTCGCTTGGGAAAATTATGAGCAGCAGCCGAGATATGATGTAATGATGTCTCTTCAGGCTTACTAATTAACGTACATTGTAACTGTGTGTGCTGTAAACTACTTTAGTAAAAGCATACATTCTTTCAGAACTGGTGAATCAGGAACAACCTCTCCCCCACTGTATCTACATTTTACATGACAGAAACATTTTCCTACTTGCCACTGACAGGTAGATTTATTTTATTTTCCAAACTGTTGTCACTTACGGTTTGTCTAGACTAGGATAAAAGGTGTATTATAAAGATGCTAGCTAACATGTTTTAAAACACTAATGGAGATGAGGCAAGTGGTATTTTAACATATGCTGGCTGAATGAGGTGAACCCTAGTCTTCCTCTTATATACTAAAAATTTAGGGCTGTGGTCTCCAACCTTTTTAAGCACAAGATCACTTTTTGAATTTAAGTGCAACCCAGGATGTACCTCAAAGAAAATGTAGAAATAAGTTTGTTATATAAAGCTGAGATCAAGTGCTTAATATGCATAATTATACATTTTCCCTACTTACTGAGTCTCAGTGTGACACTTGTGACTGCACATTATCTGCCAGTTTCTTGAAATTCGGGTTGTAATTTGAAATAGCTTGTTGGATGCAGTCCTGCAGATGAGCATTTGTGAGGCGGGTGCAATACTTGGACTTGATCATCTTCATTTGTGAGAACGCCGTCTCACACAGATAGATGGAACCAAAATAAGCTTTCACCTTTAAAGCACATGACAATAGAAAGGGGGTGTGACGGGTTGGGTCACAGAAACTCCCTCAAGACTGTCACTAGATGTGCTGGGATGCCACTGAGAACAAACCCCCTTGCCAGAAAAGGCTTCCCTCCACTCCTGTCTTGCTGAGCTAGTCACACCAGTTGGCTTCAGCACAAACCTACAGGTTGTGCCATGCCCTCCTGAAGTTCACAGAAATTAAGATTCACTTAGCCCAGGGGCTTCTCAGTTAACAGGCACTTTCCCAGCACCCAGTATTCAGTCTTTCTGGGAGCCTAAACCCTGAATAAATCCGTTTTACTTTGTATAAAGCTTATACAGGGTAAACTCATAAATTGTCCACTCTCTATAACACTGATAGAGAGATATGCATAGCTGTTTGCTCCTCCAGGAGCTACTCTGGGTTAATTTCTGGCACGTGGTGGCATATATCACATTGGTAGATCACATCACATCAGATCACATCAGCCACGCCAGCAGGGGCTCATTGACCTGCACATCTACCAATGTGATATATGCCATCATATCTGCCATGTACATTGGCCAAACCGGACAGTCTCTATGCAAAAGAATAAACGGACACAAATCTGACATGAGGAATCGTAACATTCAAAAACCAGTAGGAGAACACGTCAACCTCTCTAATCACTCAGTGACAGACGTTAAGATGGCAATTTTGCAACAGAAAAGCTTCAAAAACAGACTCCAACAAGAAGCTGCTGAACTTGAATTAATATGCAAACTAGATACCATTAGCTTAGGTTTGAACAGAGACTGGGAATGGCTCGGTCATTACACTAATTGAATCTATTTCCCCACGTTAAAGTATCCTCACACTTTTGTGTCAACTGTCCGAAATGGGCCATCTTGATTATCACTTCAAAAGTTTTTCTCCCCTGCTGATAATAGCTTCTCTTAATTAAATTAGCCTCTTACAGTTGGTATGGGTACTTCCACCTTTTCATGTTCTCTGTATGTATAAATATCTTCTTACTGTATGTTCCATTCTATGCATCCGATGAAGTGGGCTGTAGCCCACGAAAGCTTATGCTCAAATAAATTTGTTAGCCTCTAAGGTGCCACAAGTACTCCTGTTCTTTTCACAGACTAGACTCCTTCCTAGCCTGGGCCCAGTCCTTTTCAGACTAATGTTGTAGTTTATAGCCTGGGTCACCCCCCTGTAGTTACTATCCTTTCTCAACAAACTGACCAAATGCTTCACTGATGCTACTTAGAATCAAACACGTTGACCTACAAGTACATAGCCAATATTCATAACTTCAAATACAAAAATGATACACACAGACAGCATAATCATAACTAGCAAAAAACCATTCCGTAGACACCTTTCACCTCCTTTGTACAAGATTTGGTGCAACTAGAGGACCTTGGTTGCAACGATGATCTATATGGTCACAGTACATATCAATAATGTCACAGGGTAACTTTTTTTGGTTTATGAGTCCCTCAAAATCGCTGTCCCTAGATCTGGCGTTCATGGTAATTATCTCCATATCAATTCCACTACTTTGTAAATCAAACAGCTGATGGAATATCGCAGCCAACCCTGCAATGTCTGTTGGAAGGAACGGATTTGAGATACACATGACGATTGGCTCCATTATGTCTAATTCTTGAAATAGCCTGTTGAATTCCTCTGCTAATTTGGTCAGCTCTTGCTCGAATTGAGTTTACAATTCTGACAGCGATTTTCATTATATGTGAGAAGTCCATAATTTTACTTGCTAGTGCTTGCAGATGGATTATACAGTGGTAATTTACAAATGAAAGAAAATCTGGATCATTTCTGCAACATGCAACAAAGCCTGCATTTTCACCAAGCATGGCGGATGCATCATCCGTTGTGATCCAAACAAGTTTCTTGACTGGAATGATTTTCTCAAGCATGTACTTTTTAAATTTGTTGTAGATATCTTCGCCTCTTGTTCTCTCTTTAAGGGGCAAAGCAGTCAGAAGGTCCTCTTTAGTTGTCATGTCCTTAAAAACCATTCAAACAAAAACAATTACCTCGGCTGTGTCGGTCATGTCGACTGATTCATCAAACTGCAGTGGAAAGCAATTGCAGTCATTCAAATCCAGCTGTAGTTGCTGAAAGATGTCTTCGGACAATGATTCCACCGTCTTGCTACTGTGGAAGCACCAAGTGATATGCTGTGAATTGCCATCATTATTTCCTCTTTGTTTTTAAAGTCTTTAAAAACAAAGGAGTCTGCTGCCACAGTCATTGCCTCTTTAAATACTTCTCCATCCGTAAACAATTTTCTTGTGTTTTGCCAGCAGATGACAAACATGAAACAATACTTCAGTAGAAGTCTTCCTTTTTGCTGCTGATTTAGTAAAAAATGACTGTTGAGCTTTCAAAACAGTCTTGAATTCATTAACTTTCTTTGTACGGAGTGCACTATTCAAGGGGAAACCGTCCTTTAATTTGCTATGCATTGTTTTGTGATGTCTTTCTAAATTCACCTTTTTACTTATTGATGTACTTGTGTGGCGTAGAAGACATGCACACTTATCTTTCACTGTTGGAATGGGAAAGTGAATTTCTATTAGCAACTAGAAGTTGTAGGTTTTCAGTTTCTTTTTTAGATGGCCTGGGTTCATCATTCATTGTTAATGCTAGCTAGGTAGGTATGTATTTTTTATTATAACAAGAGGAAAAGGAGAGCACTAGTGACAACTGTAATCTATAGGAAACACTTCTGAGCAGTAGGCATGCGCCACGCACAGTGAGCTTTTTTCTTTTTTCAATTTTGCACTTGCAACCAATAATAAGTGCCATTTTAAATATAGTTATGAAGCTGTTTCAAATTTATAACCTGCCACATTGAGGGGGTCAACTCATTGTCGGAGAAAAACACAGTTCTCTACTTCCACATCATCATGCCTAGCTAACAGCATGATTAGTTTAAAAGGGTCCGGTCTGATGCGATCATGCATGCCGCTTTATTTTTTGCCTAACTTTAGCTTGAAAAAAAGAAAATTAAATGGGGGACTGAGACTGAGATCAACTGTCAGAGGCTCCATGATGGACCAGTCGATCACAATCTGCTGGTTGGTGACCACTGATCTAGGGGGAAGATGTTAGTTTCAGAGAAAGACAGATATACTGTGGAGTGAGGGGATGGAGAAGATATGGTAACATGAGGGTTTTTTTTTTGTTTGTTTGTTTGTTTTAAGTCTCTTTGGTGGAGACATGGTAGCAATATCATAGCTAAAGATGAAATCTGTTTTTTTTTTTTTTTTTCCCCTATGGTGGCTGCTTTTTTTCGGGTTATTTTTTTTTTTTTGCTCCTACTCCACCCCAAAACTCTGATAACTTAATCAATCTGCCTGAAAGTTGTCATGTCTCTACTATGCTAGGATTTTTCTGGAAAAGTGAGTGAGTGAGTGACGTGCCCAGAAGAATTGGTCTTATTGCTTGGAAAATTCAAAGTTAAGATTACACTTAAAAACTGTTCTTAGTGAGATTTCTCCATAAGTAGTTGATGTTGTTATAATATCTAACTCCAGGCTCAGAAAGTACTTAGCCTAAATTAGTATTTGCAGTATCTGGTAGTGTCCTGCTAATACTCACTATATTATTCTGAAGCAAATGCACTAAAGAGTATGTATGGAGTCTTTGTCCTGCTCAGCAGCAAGAGCATAACAATTGCTTAGTAGTGAGAGAACCAATGTTGTGAATGAAACTCTTGTTTACACTCTCTGCAAAGTCCCCAGATAGTGCTGTAAACTCATTCATTGCTTAAGTTTTCGTGGTAAAAGTTCCTTGCCTCTGAACATGTCCACTGCTGTCTCGCAGTAGGTGCCCAGGCACTTGTCTCTCGCCTATGCCCCCAAGCAATCCATGAACCAGGGGAAGATAGATGTTCCTGTACCTAACTCATGTGCTGGGTCTGATCCAGTAGGCATGCTCAGAGGTCACCTGGCTCCACACACATCAGCTGGACGATTGAAGAGGAGGAGGACCTCCCTTACAACCTCTAGCCTAGTGTTTAGGGTACACACCTGGGATGTGGGAGACTACCCGTTCAATTCCCCTCTTCTGCCTATTGAGAGGGGATTTGAACAGAGAGCTGCCACCTGTCAGGTGAGTGCTCTAAACACTGGGCTATGGGATATTCTGATGTGTCTCTCCCTCAATCTCTCCTATTGAAGTTGCACTTTTTAGTTTAATATTAGGCCAGAGAGAATGAGAATCATTCTAGAGCTCAGCAGTTAGAGCTCTCACCTGAAATGTATCAGATCCCTTGTCAAATCCCTTCTCCTCGGGTGGGGAGGCGATAATTGAACCAGTGGCTCCCACATCCCAGGTGAGTACCCTAATCACTGGGCTAAAAGATCTAATTGAGGTGGTTCCACATCTCCCTAGGTGGGGGGTTTCTGTGAAGTTAGGCAGTCTCTGAGCACATCTATTAGACCAGGTCCAGTGCACCTATCTTCCTCCAGTTCATGGATCGCAAACAGATAGGCACCTTTCTGTAGATCAGATATAGGTGCATATCTCTGTGAGAGGGGCAGGGCTTAGGACACACTGCTCTCACTAGCATCTCCCAATGGCTACCTTAGGCGACTCCCTGCCTAGCATGCTGGGTTTTGTATATTGCATTGTAAGGTGCCTATCTTTCTACATTCATTGTATAGGGAGCGAAGGCACTTAACTCAGGTTCTGTGGATCTTGCTGTTCCCATGACTTTTTTTCCCTAGGCAACAAAAAGTTAGGTTTTACAGTGCTGAGAGTTGCAACACCAAAGTATCTTTGTAGATCCAGGCCTTTGTTCCTATTTCTTGGAGAGATCCCAGTGGCTAGTTTGGGGCAAATGCTCTTCTGCCCCAGAATTCTCTCGTGTTTCCACAGGGTTCTATCATGCCCCTCCCTCCCCAGTTTTGTTTATATTTTATATGAGGCTGGTAGGAAGATTTGTATGCAGACATGAGTTGCGATGTCTTAAGTATGCTGACAATATCGTCTCATTCTCTCTGCCTCAGTTTCATATGACCTTGCTTGTCCTTAACCGATTTTTGAAACCTTTTATGTGGTGTAGATGATGGATTGCCAGCTGAGGCTCTGTCCAGTTAACATTAAAGCAATGGTGTAGGATGGGGGAAGCAACTGAAAGATATGAAAATATTTCCCCCTTTAATTTAGGATGTGTATCTGCCATTTGTTGGCAGACTGGGGTTACTGTTGGATCTCCAGTTCTGTATAACTATAGAAGCTCTGACAAGGATGGCTTTTTATTTCCATCTGTATTTGGCTATGAAGTTGCAACCAGTTCTTTCTGATGCATGCACATTGTTACCATTATTCCTGCTTTTGTAACATCAAAGTTATAGTATGCAATGCATTCTACATGGGGCTATGCCATAAATCAACTGGGAATCTAAAGTTAGTACAAAAAGCAGAGCTCAGTTGTTGGGTGGAGTTTCTCGCAAACTGTTCTTTGTGACTTGGTATTGTCTATCTGTAGGTTTCCAGGTGGACTTAATGGTTCCTAAATGACTTGGCATCTGTCTGTTTGAGACACTTTTCAGTCCTGTATCATACTGCTGCAACTGTGGTTAGTGGATTACTTGTGAGCTTCAATGTAAGTAGGGTTACCATATCTCATAAATAAAAAAAGAGGACCCTCCACGGGCCCTGGCCCCGTCCATTTCCCCACCCCTAGCCCCGCCCCAACCCCACCCCTAGCCCCGCCCCCTCCTCCCTCCCACTCCCAGCCAGGGGGAAAGGGCTGTCCCAGCACTACCGGCTTCAGGGTTTGCCGGGCAGCCCCCAGCCGGCGCTTCCCCAGCGCAGCTGGAGCCCGGGAGGGGAAGCGCCCAGCGGGGGGCGCAGGGTCTGGAGGCTGCCCGGCAAACTGTGAAGCCGGTAGCGCTCGGGCTTTGGGCAGCCCCTATGCCTTCGGACCCTGCGCCCGGGCACTTTCCCCTCCCGGGGCTCCGGCGGCGCAGGGTCCGGAGGCATGGGGGCTGCCCGAGCTGGTAGCGCTCGGGCAGCCCGGCTCTTAAACAGAGCC